ACGAGGGAGATACAAGTGTTTGAAAATATGGGTTTGAATCTGAAATTCTACCCAGATTTTTGTTAGTTTAATATGACGGAGATGGACGGAGGGGCCAGATTGAAACACAGATAAAACTCTAGGGTTTAATTTGTTGAAATTAAAATTCTAGGGTTTAAATTGGAAAACATGTGAAACCCTGGGGTTTTTTTTTACTTACATTTCCTAATATTTATATCGATGTTGATACATATACTACACAACATAAATCTATTGATTTTCCTTCTAATATCCATTTTCCAACAGTTGGATCATCATCTAGGAGCAGAAGTAGTAGTGTTTGGGAACATTTTGAAAAAATATCTATAAATAATCATGATGGTACAATTACATTTAAAGCAAAATATAAATATTGTACACATTTACTTAGTGTTGCATCTGCAAGGGACACTAGTCATCTAAAAAGGCATGGTAGCAAACATTTATAAAGTCAACAACTTAATATTCGAAGTCAAATGCAATTAGGGGTTTAATCAACTGGTAATTTGCAAATATTTTCATATGATTCTATACGTACACAAAATTCTGTAGTTGATTATATTATTAAAAAAGAACAACCTTTTATTGCTAGTGAATGCCTGATTTTACCGAAATGATTCACAAAATTTTTGCACCGCAATATTAAAGTTTTTCAAGAAATACTACTAGAAACAGGACTTTAAAGCGATTTGAGAATGTTAAAAGTGAGTTATTTGACATCTTTAAAAATTTGAATGGAAGAGTTTGTTTAACATCTGATCTATGGTCAAATAATGGTTTTGAATATCAATGTATCACTGCACATTTTATTGATAATGATTGGAAATTAAATAAAAAAAATTATTTCATTTAAATTAGTTGAACTTTCATACACTGGTCATTCGCTTGGTGTAAAAATAAGAAATGTATTATATGAGTGGGCTTTACAAAATAAAATATTTATGATTAGTTTAGATAATGCAGCATATTATAATCAAACTATAACCCATTTAAAATCAACTTTACAATTACTTGTTGATGGTGATTTATTTTATATTCATTATTGTGCCCATATTTTAAATTTAATTGTTAAAGAAGCTATGCATGTATACGAGACTTCTGTACTTGTAATAAAAAATGCAGCTGTTACTATTATGTCTTTTGCTAATCGAATTTCGGAATATATAAAAATTTGTCAACGAGAAAATATGCTATTTAAAAATTTAATTTTAGATGTAGATAGTAGGTGGAATTCAACATATAATATGGTAAAAATAGCTCGTAAACAAAGAAGAACAATAGATTTATTTTTTGCAACAACATCAATAGGAGGAGCACTGACTCCCACAAAACTTAATTGGCACCAAGTAACCTTGTATAAAGATTTTTTTAAAAGTTTTGGATACTTCAACAAAATTATTTTCTTATATATATTCATATTTCACCATTTGTTTTACTTATGCTAGCAGGAATAATTAAAATTTTCGTAAAATATATGGGTAATGAATATTATGTAATCATTATTACTTCAATGAAAGTAAAGTTTGATAAATATTTTGATCATTTGCCTCATCTATTAGGTTTAGCCATAATAATTGATCCTAGGTGTAAAGAAATTAGTTTACAAGAATTTTTAGAACGTTTTTTCGTTGATCAAACACAATTTGCCCCTATTATACAAACATGCAACAAATTATTTGAAGAATACAGGACAACTGTATCTGTAAATACACCTACACACACTATATTAGCAGTCTCATCTTGAGGCGAGAGATTAAGTGTTTTTTCAGCAATAAAAAGTAGAAGAATATCTCAATATACAAGTGTAAGTAGTTATGAAGTACAACATTATTTGGAAAACCCGTCAGTGGATGATTCCGATGATTTTGACATTTTGGAATGATGGAAACAAAATGAAACTATGTGTACTGTGGTTTCACAGATGGCCCGTGACATACTAACCGTTCCTATTGCTACAGTTGCTTTGGAAATAGCTTTTAGTGCAGGTGGATGGGTGCTGAGCGATTATCGGAGCAAACTTTCATCCTAAATAATTGATGCATTGATGATATCCAGAGATCATATACGTGCGCTTACAAGAAGACAAAATTATAGTGAAAATGAGTGAATTCAAAATGATTTGGATGACATATCCTCGGGAAACGCGACTGAAATGTCTGTCTCCTCCGCTGATTGATCAACAATTTATTTTTTACTATTTCATTTCATTTCTTTTTTTTCTTTTTTTTTTTTGTATTAGATTATTGAGGTGGAATATAATGCAAATGATTGGTAGGCTAGTAAGTGCCAACCTAGTTGGGATATACTTGACCTATAGGGATGCAATTGCTCTACCATCATTAATAATCTACATCTATTTTATTTAATAATATCAATTTTTGTAATATTTTATTTCATTTTGAAATAAAAATTATTCATTCAATAAATGTTATATAAATTATTTAATATTGTAATATTGAAAGTTTCGTTTTCATATATATAAAATTATTCATTTTGAAAGAGAAAATTACATAATTGCGTACTTTTTTAGTTATAAGTTCATAATTAAAAAAATATAAACCATATATAATTAAATTTAAATATCACTATAAAACATTACATAACCAAAGAAAATATCTCATTAATCGTAATTAAAATACTTTAGCATAATTTTTTTTTATTTCTATTATTAAAAAAAAGCCCGACTAGGCCCGGCCCGAGGCCTTAGGCCCTATTATGAGTGGCTGCGGCCCTAAGCTTGCGGCCCATGCGCTATTATGAGTGGGTTTGGACTTGGGCCTAAGCCTGGATCCCATTTTTTGGCCCATGGGCCGACCCGACCTAGATCGCTAAAGCGGAGGGATCCCGCGAGGCTCGCTTGGGCCGGGCGGGGCCAGGCCATTATTACATTCCTAAAGCCAACATTTCTCATCCATCATCTCTCTATCTCTGTATTCCTTCTTTCTTCCTTCTAACTCATTAGGGTCATGTTTGTTTAGCTTCATATGATGGAAGGGATTAAGAGCACGGTAGGATTGAATAAAGAGATTATTAGTGTAGTGGTATTAAGTTGAAAATGTAAGATAAATAGTGTTTGTTTGCATACTACCGGATTAAGAATACTATAGATAGTATTAATATTTAAACTAATATTTTTTAATTTGTTGTATTTTTTTAATATTATAATTTTTTTTTGTTCTAAAAAATATATTTTTTACTTAAAAATTATTTAAAAATTCACTAATTCCCTCACTCAATTTCTAATCCCAACCTTCCCATGGCTTTGTTAGTCCTACCACATGGAGGGATTACTAATTCAAGGGGATAGTTAATCATCTCACTAATATCACTAACCAAACACTCTTTAGGTAAATCTCACGAACTATTAGTCCAATCTTCCTCCCAAAGGATCCAAATAAACAGGGCCTAGGAGTCAAAGTAATACTGCTATTAAGGGGATGTAACATAGTTGAATAATTAAAATTAATATGTTTAAAAAATAAGTAGTTAAAGAGGTGTTTAGGAAGTTGAGTTGTGTGTGTGTGTGTGTGTGTGTGTGTGTGTGTGTGTGTGTGTGTGGTGGTGGGGGGTTCAAAATAGAAAATAAAAATAAAATAAGTTAAAATAGTCAATAAGATAAAATATTACATTTAAATCATAATCATTTTGTTATGAAAAATAGATGATTTCCAAGTAAATCAATCAAGGAAAATTAAAAAAATAATGTAAAAAAATTAAATCAATAACGACACTAGAATTTATACGTGATTTCCTTAATGTGAGGTACGGTATGTCCACGGGACTGTAGTTTGATTTCACTATTAACTAAGAATTTTTAAACGATTACAAACAAGACACGAATAGTCTCACAAACTATCCTTAAATTTCAAATAATCACAAATAAATAAAAGAAAGATCTCATCAAATAAACAAACAATTTATTTTTAAAACAGAGTTAATAAAGAACAAAAATAATGGACCAAACGGCCAATACAACACCCCCATTGAAGCAGAACCAACAAATATATCAAAACACCATAAACGTGAACAAAATCTCTGCACCAAAATTCTACACACTCACAGTAAGCTCACTCAAAAATAGTCCATCTGTGTATGTATGTCTATGGGCTGCTCTCACATACAAAATATATCTGCCCCAAAATTCAACACACTCATAGTAAACTCACTCAAAAGTAGTCCACCGAAATCGATGTATATCGGCTTCTCTCACATACAAAATAAACCATACAAAAAGATATGGTTATAACTCTTGAGCTTTTCTGTTATCAAACAAATTTTAAAATATTCATTTAACCTCTAAAAGATCAAATATAATATATAAAAACATATATTATAATTAATACTAAATTAAATTAAATATTCTTTAAATAAATTATTAGATCCCGTACTCTATTAAGGAAGTATACCTAATAATTTTACTTTTTTCTTTACAAATATCAAATTAGCTACTAAAAAAACAAAAATCAATTATCATCTTAAATATAACTTTTTTATCGAAATTATAATATTAAAAACTTAAAAAACTAAATTAAATATTAAATTGGAATCCAAAGAATGTAGGACAATAATTTCATATCTCATCTATAAAAAAAAATTATTTAATATTATTAGAATGTCATATGTCCATACTCTTCATCAATCATAATACATCATATCTTATATTATTCATTTATCATTTAACATAAAATAAATTTCATTTCTTTCACCAACCACAAAATCTTTATGCATCACCTCATTGTATCTCAATACAGCAATGCTAGATATCATGAAAAATCTTTCATGTAAATAATCATGAAAGTTTTGTGACCCTTGAATTTTTTTTTGGATAAGTAAGTCATATTATAACCAAAAAAGAAAAATATACAATGAAGTTCAACACACAGCTTTTGATGGGAGCACAAAAATAAACAAAATAACTACTCCATCAAAAAACAAACTGAGCTTATAGAAAACAAGCACAACATTCCCAACAAAACAAGGATTCAGAATTTCCTTCTGGCATTCTTCAAGTCATGAAGTTTCGCTTTAAGTTTTCTTCTATTATCCTCCTTTGAAGTCTCCCCATAACTAGAATCACTTGGAGATGGACTCCCTCTATTTCTCAACTCTTGACTTGAATCTCCATTTCCTAACTCGTTCATATCACACGATTCAAGGACATCAAAGGCATTAGATGTTGAGGGGATAGAAGACTGTGTCTCTCTCTCTTTGTTGATCAATGGCGTTGAACCTTGCCCACCATCTCTCCCCTTTTTCTTCACCACTTCCTATTTAGTCGGAATTTGTGTTTTAGTGTCCTTGACTCTCCACTCATGTTTGAAGGAGGGAGGGTTCAAAGACTTTGGCTTTTGAGGGCACAAATTAGTGGTATGGCCAAAAGTCTTACAACCATCACACCTTTGGGGCTTCCATGGTACCTCAACTTGAATCTCATATGGGTCACCATAACCAAGATTTATTTTGAAAGACTTAGGGATCTCTTTATTTGCTGGCACTTCAATACAAATTCTCGCAAACGTAAGTCTGCTTCTCTTGAAAGTTGGCTCATCCAAATAAAGAGGAGTTCCCAAGATGCTAGCTATGTAACCCAAACCCTCTTCACTCCAAAGTTCCAAAGGAACATTGTACAACTTCACCCACAATGGCACACTTGAAAATTCACACTTTGTTAGTTTTAGTCCAGGTTGCCATTTTTTAATAACAATCAATCTAGCCCCAACATAATAGGGGCCATCTTCCAAGATTGTGTCCATAGCCTCTTCACTTTTTACTTTAAAAATAAAAAAACCATTGTCAATGGAGACAACGTCCTCAAGCAAATTTCCCCAAAGTTTCTCCGCCCAAGTTTTCACATAATGGAAAGAGAATCTTTTATCAATGAAGTATCCAACCAAAGCATTTTCCCAATGAGAAAAGCCTTTTTTTGAGATCTCAATAGGGACATTGTAAATGCCATCTACTTGGTTCTCAATCTTATGGGCACCTATTTTATACTTCAATTTTGACACCTTGTTAATCTCTTCTTTAATTAAAGAGCTCCCAACTTGTAGAGGTTTACCTGATATAGCAAGTGTATCCAGACCTTCACTACCATCTTCCATATGTAGATCAACCGAATCCTCATTTCGACAAGCTCGCACGGGCTTATCACTCTCTCGTTGCTTGGAACCCATTACTTCTTTCCTTTGATCAGCACTAAGTGAGCCAAATTTATTTGACAACATCATTTCGTTTGCCACCAATGGGGACACAGTGGTCAATTTTGGCCACTGCTCAACATCAGTTAGCACTCTAGTTGGTGTGTTCCATACATTAGGTGTTTGATGCTAAGATTTGCTTTTTGATTTACTCTTGGCTAGTTTGCTCTTGGCTAGTTTGCCCTTCTTCAATGATAGCTTACTACCCTCTCTGTCCCTCTCATTGTCCTTCTCTTTCTCTTTCTCTTTCTCCTTAATCATCTTATGACAGCACAGTGACAAGGTCACTGGGGCATTTTGTCGAACAGGTAAAGGGCACTTCTGTGTTGTTCCTCTCTCTGTGATGCAAACAGGGGTATTTAGCCCAGCCACCGAGCAAAACCCAGCTGCAGGCTTCCAAAAATTATACTTAGAATACACTTAGAATAAAGCACCACACACTAATCAAGCACCACACACTAATCAAAGTAATCCAAAAATTATAACACTTTCATAATCATTTTCAAGAAAAAAATTTCATAACCCCGAACTTTTCTCATCTAAATATCATCAAATAACTTCACATCTACCATATTATTCAAGAAGTAATAACCTCACCCATTAATTAATGAGGTACCCACCACGCCAAAAAGTAGTGGACTCAGGTCCGGCCCCGTACAAGAAATAAGTTTTCGATTAATGCGCGAGGCCCCTCAAATGGAATCAAATCCTCCCCTTCATCTTTCTCCTCAAATGGAATCAAATCGATTAATGCGTGAGACCCCTCAAATGGAATCAAATCCTCTCCTTCGTCTTTCTCCTCAGCTCTCTTTTTGTTAGCTTATTAGGCTCATTTTTTGATCTAATTTTAATAATTCGAATAATTTACATTTTAAGATTTGTTGAGTATATTATACTTGTAAAAAATTAAATTGATCAAATATCAGAAACTACGTATTCGGATCATCAAACTACAAACCATTTTTTTTAAAAAATTTAATAAACAGTTTTTCGAACATATGTTTTATGATATCCGATCAACTTGATTTTTTATAAATATGATATATTCAACAAATTTTAAAATATGAACGATTTAAATCATCAAAATTAGACCTAAAAATGAGTCCAATAACCTAGCAAAGAATAAATTAAAAAGAGAGATGAAGGAAATGATCGTGATTCCCTCAAATGGATGATCCCTTGATCCTATTGATTGATAATCATTTATTATGTATTATATATATATATATATATATTTGTTTTTCGTCCTCTCTCTCACTCACAAGTGCCTTCTCTCTCTCAGATGCGCGGAACTCGTGATGTGGCACTTCTGTAATTTTTCCACACTTTGACGACTTCATGTTGCAAAATTTAAAACGTGAATTACCTTGATGTTGATTTTTATTTTTTTATTTTTAATAAATTTTTTACTATTTTGAGTACTTTCTCCGTTTTAAATTAATGATTTTTTTTTGAAAAATTTAATTTTTTTAATAATATAATTATTATATTTTAAAAATATTAATTTTTTAAAATTACCCTCTGATTGTATATTTTCCTTAGAATATCAATTATTATAATTATACTTTTTGTGATATTAATAAATTTAAAAGAAGGATAAAACACTAAATTCATATTATTTTATTCTTTAATTTTTGAAAAGTGACTAATATTTTAGGACAATAGAAAATAGAATAAGAGACTAATATTTTAGAACGGATGGAGTAATATTTTATTTTTTAGATGTGCATAACTTAGATACATTTAAAAAATAAAAATATTTTAAAATTTTAATAAATATACAAAAATATGAAAATGTACTGATTTTTTGTTTAATAATTTTTTATTTGTTGAATTTCTTAAAAAAAATTCATAAATGTTATACTTTTTAGGTAAGGCATATTGCACTAACGGTCCCTATAATTTGAGCCTTGTGTCACGTTGATCCCTAACTTTTAATTGTGATACATTTGGCCCTGAATTTTGAATCTTGTTCCAAATAAGGACAATTGAAGATACCATTGCTCAATTTCAAGGGTAAAGTCATCAATTTGATAAAATATAAACTAGAGAGAGTGGTGTGATAACTTATAATGACTTTTTAATTTTTTGGCTAAAATGTATAGTGGACAAACAAGGCCTAATTTGACAAAAATAAGTGTCACAAAAGTATTTTTGAATTTTTAAAAATTATTCTTACCCACTAAAGATAAAATTATGTAAAATTGATAAATTTTTTAGACATTTTTTTTGCCAAATTATTTTTTATTATGTGTTTGGATAATAATCATGTAATGAGGGTTGCTTTATTTTCATTAAATTAGTTTTCATTTTTTCAAAAGTTAAATATGGCGACAACTTTGATATCATTATTAAACCAATCCATTAAATCAAAAATTCAAAACTAAAAATATTTTATATATTAAATATATTGATTACACATTAAAATCCTAACAACCACTCATTACATGATCAGCATCTAAACATATAATAAAAATTAATTTGGTAAAAAAATAAAAACAAATGTCTAAAAGATTTATCAATTTTACATAATTTTATCTTTGGTGAGTAGAAAATATTTTTTTGACATTTATTTTGTCAAATTAATTTATGTTTTATTGAATTGATGACTTTGCCCTTGAAATTGAGCGATGGTATTTTCAATTGTCCTTATTTGAAATAATATTCAAAATTCAGAGTCAAATGTGCTACAATTGAAAAGTCATGAACCAAAATGACATGAACTCCAAACTATAGAGACTATTAGTATAATTCGCCCTTTTAAGTATATCTAATTAGGTACATTTAAAAAAAATTATGAATAGTTTTTGTTAGAATTTTAAGAAATAAATTTTTCTTTTTTAAAATTTGATATCAATTTTATTGGATTAACTAATTCAAAAGACTAATTTCACTGTTCATTAATAGGGGACTTAATTAAAGTCAAGACAAAGTTCTGTATAAATTAACCCTAAGAAATTGTTCACTTAAGAGATTTCAAACTTGAAATTTTGAAGAAGCATAATTTTAGGTCTCTGACCTTGACCACCAGACCAACTCTTTTGGATGTTTTAAATTAAAATTATATGAAAATTATCAATATTTTTCATTTTTTTCACCAAATTATGTTTTAAATTTTAAGAAAAATTTTCTGAAAAAGGATTTTGAAAACCAAATGGCTCTATTTTATTTTATTTTTAGAATTTTTTTATATATAAAAAAATAAAAGCTAACTTGACAAAAATAAAGATATTTTTAAAATTTTAAAATTATTATAGCCCCCAAAAAGAAAATACCAGCCTGTGAATTGAGATTATTTCATTTGTACCCTTATACTTTTACACGACTTTCAATGACCCCTTAGACTACTTTTATTTTCATGACTACCTCCATACTATTTAAGTTACTATCAATTTTATCCCTACCATCACATTTGAAATGGAAAAAGTTATAAAAAATTCTATTTTGGCTCCAAATTTCAAAAGAAAGATTCAAACTCACTCTCTCTTACCCAAATTCATCATCTTTTCTCACCCTTCCATTTTTTCCTCCGGCAACGCTCATTCCCCACCTTTTCATCATAATTCCGTTTTGTCTCATTTTTACGTCGTTGGATTCAACTCACGATCTAGTTTTTGTATCACATCTCACACGTCTCGTTCTTCCTCTATTTACATACTATCGAAGCTCTGAAAATTAATAAAAAAATAAGACTTTTCTTCTCGTTTTTGACTTTTCTTCGAGCCATCTTTCAGACTTCATATCTTTCTCGATTCTTGACGGTTCTATTTCATTCTTTCGCTATGCTCTTCACCTCACTTCTTACTTCGCTTTACACTACCTCACTTTCTCACTTCTTTGTGTAATGGACGATTTTGGTATGTCGAAAGTTGTTTGAAAACTATTTTTGAAAATTTCAAAACATTTATATTTTGTTTCTTTCTCCTTCATATTCCTCATTCTTCTTCTTCTTCTTCTTTTTCTTCTTCACTTATAACATGATGTGGAACATGATTCTAGGTGGTAATGAAACTGGTGATAGCGATGGTGGCGGTAATGTAGTTTGGTGGCGGTGAAGTTGGTGGTTCGGGTAGTGATCTTCTTCTTCTTCTTCTTCTTCAATTATCCATCTAAGCTTTTACTTTACTTTATTGAGAAAGATGAGAGAAAACACAAGTTAATAATCACAATATCATATTTTCCACCACAAAGAGATCTAGAGAGAGAGAGAGATGGTGGATATTGCTTTGTTGGTTGCAGAGGAGTATGAGGGAAAGGTGAAGAAATCAAGAAAAAATGAAAATGGGTTTGAAAGGGATCAAGCGATCAACTTGTTTTCTGCTGTATCTGTCTTGGTTCATAATCAGAGGAGGCTACATGATGATAATGGATGTTTTTGGATCATGATAACGATGAAAAATTTTGGAGAAGGAGAAAAGAAGAAGAAAATCATGGACCTATTCAATTTCAACAGGGTTGTTATGGAGATAGATTATTGATATGTATGTATATATATAAACATGATATATATCTCTTCATCAAATTTATCACCTTCATCAACTTCACCAACATCACCACTTGAACCACTAACTTCCCCGCCACTGAACTCCATTATCGTCACCATGAGCATTATCATCACCACCACCTTACAACACCAAACCCACTTTTTTCATAACCAAGTTCCATTACCGCCACCATGAGCATTACCATCACTACCACCTTATAACACCAAATCCACCGCCATCATCGGACCGCCACCACCACCACAATTACTAGTTTCGTTACCACCTAGAACCATGTTCCACATCATGTTATCAGTGAAGAAGAAGAAGAAGAAGAAGAATGAGGAATATGGAGAAAAAAGAAATAAAAGATAAATACTTTGAAGTTTTCAAAATTAGTTTTTGAATGACTTTCGACATACCAAAATCGCCCATTACACGAAGAAGTGAAAAAGTGAGGCAGTGTAAGGTGAAGTAGGAAGTGAGGTGAAGAGAATGGCGAAAGAATGAAGTAGTATGCAAAAAGAGAACCGTCAAGAATCGAGAAAG